AAAGATGTACACCTCATTTTTTGACCAATAAATGGAAAGTTCTGATGCACACTAATAATACCTGCCTCCTTACACTATCATCTCACTTCCTTACAAAGAAAGTTATAAAGTTACATAATTCAACATTAAAAAGTACTGTACTGTACTGTACAGTACTGCTGTATTATCTAACATGTACAGTATTATCATGTTCATCTTATTTATCAATACACCACATATCAGCTTACTAACTGTTTGGGTGGTAGTCTGTTCTTTGTTAGTTTGTTATGACCTTTATTGTCCAGTGTTAGTACAGGAGGAAACCATAGTACCCGGAGATAATGTGCCATGTTCGGTCCTGGATAACACCCGACCTACATCTGTCCTGGGCCAGGGGATTGAACCCAAGACACAGTGGTGAGATACAGGCGTTACCTTTGCCGTTTTGTGACACTGACAGCATTATAATCATCATTTAACAGATGACTCAAAGGTTTATAATCACTATAAGACCTACACAAACCTGGGCCGGATCCCTCAGTGTTTACATATCACACAGTTACACAACAAGTATCTGGACATGTAAACAATACCGCCTCACTTAATTTCAATTTGGTCAATATGTTATCTGTTCTTAAATCATACAACATATACTAAATGTTCTATCTATTACTTGGGATATAAAGTTTTAAAATAAATCTGATAACTTACAGACACACTATAACAATTAAGGTGAAAAGTCGACTGCATTACTTGATATAAATGAATTTGTTGAGTATCACAGTCTTAAAACACATTTCTATTAACACCTATGAAAGGCACAAGGTTCACTGGTACTATGGACCTTAACCTCTACTTGTACTTATACAATATTTCTAAATAATGTGTCTGAATATAAGAACAGATCATCAAAAATAAAGGAAGTCAGTCATTAAGTCACAATGTTGTGGTAGAAGTGACTGAGGATCAAGAAAACTTAAGGAGAGAAAGATGAGAGAGATAAATAATCAAAGACTGCAGTAAATCATTTCCTATAACCATCACTGTAGCACGAGAAAAAACTTAAAACATAACAATAAAGTGGTGGACGATGTCTTAAACTTAATGAAAATATGTTTAAACTTGACTCAAAAGGCTGACAGCAATAAAAAAGAGTAACGACTTGTATAACAACAAAGACTCCAGGCAACGCAAGACAGACACAAATGAATCTCCATACTACAACAGTCCTTGGTGTTACTTGGTTATTTGAGACTCACACACCGCCTGTCCTCCTGCTGCTGTGTTATATAAGCCATAGCTAGATAACATGCTCATATGACAGCACCAGTTCATACACTCTCCCACATACAATACCAGACAAGTTAATAAGTGGCTTCTGAATCAATGTAAGAAAGAACGGCCAAATGACCTGCCCAATGTCAATATGGCATAAAATCAAACCTCGATGTTTCATTCTGTGTTCTGTTACATGAAACAATAGAACCAACATCAGAATTATACTCAGCAGCTCCAGGGTTTCTAAGTGTTTAGGTCAATGGCCCAAAGAGGATCTGCAAGAGGATGGTGTGGCTGTGTCCTTTGAATTATTTAACCCACACAATAAACTACATCAAGCCCAAGACATCAATTGACTATAGGTTAGTTTAAAGCTCCTTCTAAAGTAGAGTTTACCAATTTTTCTACCCCCTTTGAAAAACTCGACTACCCAATAACCAGTTTAAAAATTAAAAACCCTGCAGCTGCCATATTCATTACTGTATATATCTATAAGCACCAGAGCAATCAATTAACCTTCAGCACGACATACAAGTCAATTAACAGGTTAACAAATCATCGAGATTGGATATTCAAATTAGCATCCCAAAGCTATGTGTGGGGGCTAGTGGCATCATGACACTGCCTCCCCAAAGTTAAGTATTTCCCAGCTAGGCAGCCATACAACAGCAGAGTGTGCGAGTATAGTGGTACTGCAAAGGAATAATAACGGCAATTAAAAGTGGTAATAACAAACCCCCAGCCACCGGCGACAGCTTGGCTACCAGGCCGCACAGATTGGTTAAACCTGTTGGGAGGAAATGCACGGAAAACAACAATTATTACTCAACAAGTTTTTCTACCCACCGTTTACCTACTGCTCTCCTTAACACCATCATTTATAGGCCTAAACAATATCAATTATCATTCTATACAATCTCAAATGTTATCATATAGTATCACCATTAATATCACATCATACAAGGCCTTACAAACCCTGACCTAAGTTCTCTTAATATCCACCTGTACTGTACTGTATATTTCCACACACACACACACACACACACACACACACACACACACACACACACACACACACACACACACACACACACACACACACACACACACACACACACACACACGCATGCACACACACACGCATGCACACACACACACACACACACACACGCGCATGCACACTCAACCAGACTTTATCTCTGGTAATAGTATAGAAGAACAAAAAATCTTCCATCCTTCTATTCTGGACTCCTGAATTAATTATTTTTTAATTAGTACAACTCTTATCTTTGCTGTTCCCTGGATGGATCACAAGGTTAATATATCACCAAGTACATGTGTCACCAGGTTCACTAGGTACATGTGTCACCAGGTTCACCAGGTACATGTGTCACCAGGTTCACTAGTTACATGTGCCACCAGCTTCACTAGGTACATGTGTCACCAGGTTCACCAGTCACCAGGTTCACCAGTCACCAGGTACTGTACATGTGTCACCAGGTTCACCAGGTATGTGTGTCTCATATCACTAGTTGACTCATAATGGTCTACTGCAGGAGGACATAATATAGTGAGTCATCCTTTCCTTTCAGTTCTTCCATCTTCAAACATAATCAATCGTATCTTTAATTTATTATTATCTGACAACTCTATCTTTTCCCATTCCTTATTAAATTCTTTCTGAAAAAAATGCCACTATACTTGTAACATTATCATCCACCCCAACTCACTCCTGCATCCACCTCACCTCACTCCTACATCCAGCTCCCCTCACTCCTACATCCACCTCACCTCACTCCCACATCCAGCTCCCCTCACTCCTACATCCACCTCACCTCACTCCTACATCCACCTCCCCTCACTCCCACATCCACCTCACCTCACTCCTACATCCAGCTTAACCCCCTCCCACTCCACACAATCACCGCTCCTTTACACACACACTGACACTGGGCCTTGGTCTGTTAAATAAGCTGCATCACATTATAAAGCCTGAGCAGCTGTATGCAAAAATTATACCAAACAATGCTAAAGAAGCTTATTAATAAACTAATAAAGAAAAGTAGCTACAGATGTCAGGCAATATAAATAAAATATTTATTAAAAGAATAGAAAGAAGTAATTTGTTAAAAACTTGTAAGAAAGGATAAAAAACACCAGTTGGGTTTGTCACAAGGCTTGAGAATACAAGTACAGTATTAGGATATAGCTTAGAAGAATGTGCTTAACCTCTTCACTATGGGGACACTGCTATTAATATTTTATTTGGTTAATGCCAGATTTTATTCAGTTCAGAGGGGAGCCCAAGAACAAGGGATTAACCAGACCTAAGTAACAGGGAAGACTCCTAGGAAGGGAAGACTGTGATTATAAACTGGAAAAGAAAGTACATGTGGGTCATCCTTCTCTTTGGTACAGTAAGACACAGAGTACAGTACACAGGCAGGGACTCCTTTGAAAAATCTATCTGAAAAACTATATAAAGAAGACATGCTATTTACAGTATATAGATACAGTATGAGTGTGAATATATATATATATATATATATATATATATATATATATATATATATATATATATATATATATATATATATATATATATATATATATATATATATATATATATATATATATATATATATGCAGGAGTGACAGCTACAGGTCAACGATCCCTCACCCAACATCTCTTTTAAGAAATAACTTGGCCAGTACTGTATATCTCTTGTCATTATACCCTGCCTCAACGTGTCTTATTAATATCACTGTGTCAAGTTGTACACAGAACTAATGATGTTTTACTTGCTGTGAAATCTTTCAAGAATCTTGTCATTGTTAACTTTGTCTTGTCACTGCACCAATATTAAACCGGTCCATTGATAGATAAATAAAGGTAATTTGGCACTAATATTACATTTAGATAAATTACTTATTGTAAATCCTTCCCTTCAGTACTACAATCAGTAAAGTATCTCAAATAATGACTGTGACCTCCAATTGTTATCAGGGAATGATCATTAATCAACACCCTAAACTCCCTCATTACTTTAATTCATCATTCTCTGCACCTTTGTCTTCAGGCCACAAAATCTCAATATATTTTCATTTCAAGTATTTTTCCCACTTAAATGCAGGATGGCTAGAAACAGGCAAACACTACGGTAAATGTACGGTCCTTCATTGTTATTCACATCAAAACATACATGCATATTTTTCCTTCCTTCATTTTTATTCATATCATATACATATACTGTCTCTTCCTTCATGTTATACTGTTAATACTGGTACTGTTATAAAAGACACGTTCAGTTGTGGTGCTCCCCTTCCTCAACAAGGCCCCACACCTCCATCACTTAACACAAGCTTCCTACACCCATCAGCAGCAAGTCCTCCCCCAAATGTCACCCCAACAGACTTTTGATCAGGTCGCTGTTAAATGGACCACTGATAGATTCATGGGCAAGCCAAGAAGAGGGTATGACTCCCTACGCCTCCAAGTTCAAAAATTCCTTTCTTCGTTTATCAATGCTTTTATATTTTCTGTTTTTGGTTTCTTGTACAACACAACACTTAGATAAACAGGATAATGCTGGAAGATGTGTTAATTAAATTACCAATGTTTTAATTTTCTTATAGGCTACCATACCTACACTCTTTCCTCCCAAAAATAAATTAATAAATAAATAAATAAAATAAAAGTTCCATAGCGTAGTACTGTGGATCAAGTGGTGTTAGTGACTCACCTTTATCCTCCAGTGGATTGTGCGAGAGGTCAAGTTTCTGCAGAGGAATGTTGCTGTTGGATAGAAGTGCCAATGATAGTTTGTTGGCAAATTCTCTGTAAAAAAAAAATAATTACTGTACTATTAAAAACTTAACCAGAAATTAGATGGGGAAGGTTTTGTTGCTATTAATAATAACAATAGTAAAAGAATAAAAATTAGTTTTTTTTTTTACTTACAAAACTCTTTTCTCAGAAGAAAGATAGTTGTTGTTAATATTATGAAAGAAACACGTTGCCTTTACAAATGTCACTAATAATAATAACAACAACAATAATAATAAAAATAATAATAATAGCAGTACTGTACTGTATATAATAATAATAATAATAGCAATACAGTAACAGCCATAACAATAATAATAGCAATACAGTAACAACAATAATAATAATAAAATAATAACAATAATACTAATACTCACGCTTTGGCACCAATATTATCTAGATAAATTTCTTCTAAGCTAAGTGACTTGCTGACCACGTGTAAAATTCGTTCTATTGCTTCATGAGAGAGTTTACTGTGGCTGGCCCGGAGCTTGCGGAACCACGTGTTGTACTCGAGGGCGCTGATGATGGGGATGAGGTCTCTGTAAAGTGAACCACGATATAAATGGTTTGTTCAGATACATATGAATCATCAACACAAGATGCCATTCTGAGGGTGAACAAAGGACAGTCAGTGTCAGCGTAATGTACAGTATATGATGCATTCCTGAACACCTGTACATTGAGCAGACGTAAAGTAACTGAATGTATGTTGAGTGGATGTACGTTAACTGAATTTACATTGAGTGGATGTACATTAAGCAGACACTAACTATAAAATACAGTATATACACATTTTCTTTAATACATGTACAGTATACACAGGCTTTACTTCTTTAAAATACAAAGAATATTTTACATTTAAAGACATAACCACAGAAGGACAAGTATCAGGCAGGACCAAGGCACCAGAGATTATTAGAGAAGTTCTTTTATCTGGCTTTATTGATATATAACTCCACCTGAGTCTGTCAACACATTATCTCCTCCTATAACTTGTAACTTATTTCTTTCTTCACTCTAGTTTTCTTTCTGTTTATATTTGCAGAAAACAACCTCAGTTACCCACAAAATACAACTATTAGTATATTTCAAAGAGGATTGGTGGGGATGAGACAGTTTATGGCCACACAGTGAACACTTTATACAAGTTAACTCACAGAATTACCCACACAGGCCTGGCATCACCTATCACTGAGGATGAGAAAGAACAGGTACATCTCCTCCTAATTACCCAAATATTTGTGAACTATTTAAGAGATTACAACCAGTCACAACAGAGTAGAAGTCAGTGCTTTAATAAGGATATGAACAAGACAACAATGTACACTGATATTTAGTCTTTATTCATCATCTATTTCTCTCTCACTTTTCCAAATTACCTAAACTGTTCCATCATAGTTGTGTTGTCTTGTTGAGGCAACTCTCATTCTCTTCATACACTCGTAGTGTACTCAGGTGACAAGTGCTTTAACTGTGTTCGAGCCAAAGATGTTGTGCAGTTCTTCAGCAGCTACAAAGTCGTGTTGCTGTTAGGTTGAAGCAAGTGGCTGGTGTTTTACTGTTTGTTTGCCAAAGGTAAAATTCTTATTAACTGCTATAGTACAGTAGTGTTGCAGTCCTTGTGCAAGCGGCTGACAAGTGCTTTACTCATTTATTATCTAAGCATAATATTCCTTAGTACATATTCTTTTTTAGCATTGTTGCATTTACAGTTGCCTACAAATAAGTGACAAATATTAGACTTATCTAGTATAGAACAACTCAGATTTCTTCAGCAAGTGCTGTGAATATTGTTGTTCAGTATTCAGGTGCTGGAAGTGGCGAGTGCTGTTTACTGATTTTAGCCATACACGTTCAATTCGTCAGCTTCTACTGTGAGTGTTGATGTATCCTTAGTGAGAGCTAGTGGCAAATGCTTTACTCAAAAAATACTGTATATTCAATTGTATAATAGCTACATAAATTTGTCAAGTGGCATGTTGTATAGTTCTGGTAAGTTTTCAAGGTGTGGATATGGTCAGTGAAAACAATACTTGAACAGTATTCCACACACAGTACATTACAGTATAAATAAAGCTATGGTGATTAAAACAGTTTCACCAGAACTAGGCAAGACTTGTAAATATACTATGTTGCATAAGATGGTAAAAAAAGGCATAAATATATCCTCATAAAAATGAAATGGTAACCATCGATTAACCATGAACTCATATTAAGCAAATTGTTGTCATAAATAGAACACTTTGAATATTCTGACTAGAGAACAAAACAGTAGATGCATATTTTATAAGAACAAACTGGGGAAGAGTATTATGTACAACCACATAAAAGACTCCTGTCAGTCCTCCAACCTGAGACTCATGAATCCCAGACATCACATACTGTTGGGCCCATAGATGACACACTGGGTCGTGTGATCTCTCAGATTCAAAGGTTCACGAGTCTCTGGGTCGTGAGATGTCTCGGATTCACAAGTTGATGAGTCTCAGGGTTCATGGACAGAACAGAGGACTGACAGGACTCTTTACTGTGACTGTACACAACAATACAAAATTCCTCCTCTTAGCTAAACTAATGGTGCTGAAAACTTGTACTAATATAGACTATGGTGATCAAACAAACGCCTTAAGCTCACAACACAATGTCTCTGCCATAATAATAAGTTTTAAGGTGATCAATATTTTGCAAAAAACTTGGAATAATTTTTCCAAAAGCATGTAAGCAAAGCTTTAAGCTTATCATGAGGTGTAAGGTATGGTATAGCATAATATAGTGATAAGCTTATCATGAAGTGTAAGATATGGTATAGTATAGCACTAAGCTTATCATGAGGTGTATGGTATAGTATAGCACTCGGCTTATCATGAGGTGTAAGGTATGGTATAGTTTAGCACTAAGCTTATCATGAGGTGTAAGGTATAGTATAGCTATAAGCTTACCTTGAGGTATAGTACAAGGTATAATATATTATAGATTAACTCTTTCAATAGTTTCCTTCCCATTAAACACAAGACATAAACACCATATATAAATGAACAAGTGAAATATAGATAACAGGAAAATGTACATAAAAAAATACTCAATAAATTAACAGATAAAATTAACATGTAAGAAATGCCCCATAACTATCAAAATGTAAAATATTATAAAATAAAAATATCAAACTGTATCAGAACTTTATGTTTCACCTTTTGCTGTGTCAGGTCTTGAGTTCTTAAAAAAATGCATTATTATACTATTTTTGTCACAGTCTATCTATACCACAGCAAAAGATTAGGTTAAGTTAAGGTTGGGTAGATTTGGTAAGGTTCACTTAAGTTAGATCAGAGTAGGTTTGGTTAGGTTCAAAGGGCTGGTTAGGTTAGGTTAGACTATATTAGGTTCAGGTACGTAGAAGGGTGTGGAATGTTAATCTGAACTCCACTGAGCATGGCAAAAATGGCAAGATCTCTCTTTTTTTTTAATCACAGTGGGTTGTAGTTTCTTTTAAGCAGGCTAGAACTCGGATGCAAGCAGTGCAACAGTGCATGCTACCAGGGGTGATAATCAGTTGCAGGTCCAATGGGTTACAGTTCTAATAGGCCATAACCTAACCTAAGCTAAACCCCCCAAAAAATCACTGGGGCGTCATTAGCATGAAGACGGCCCATTAGGACTGAGGCCCATTCGAGTACAGTAGTCAACACGATAACTTGATCCTTCACAATAAACATTCTTTCTCAACCCAGATAGCATCAGTGAGTTTAAAACATCTAAAATACTGTAATGGTTTTGTAAAAGTTGCACTATCAGATGAAACAGATCGATCAAGTGAGCTGGAAAACAATGTACAGTATACAAAGTTATTTCAGCTGTAAATGCATCATCACACGAACACAAACACGTAACACAAAGAAAGAAAAAGAAAAAGACCAGGACGTCTGGTAAACGGTGACATTATATCTGGCAGGTGCTTCATCATATCACAGAGGAGTCATTCAGGACCTAGAAATATGACTGTACAGCTTATATACATAACATAACATACATGAACACCAATTGGCACTATCACAAAGAGATAATCGTAAGTCTTACTCTTCTTCCTCTCATGAATCTGACTAGTTACGACAAGCCTAGTTTGTCTGTGTACAACCCCACCTGGACAATATGTATCACTATATGAAAAAATAATGTACAGTACTGGTCAACAATCAGCCGAGTGTTCCTGTGTCAGTCACCATTATGACCACCTGTGCTAACACTTTACACCACCTATCTTACACTATCTACCCTACACCACCTACCCTAGGATCTGCTGTGTCTCACCCAAGCTTATAATCACTACTTATTCCAACTCAACAAAGCTTACATGACACTTCCTTCCCCACGACACACCAAGACTTGTAGGACACCCATAACTCTCTCTAAGAACACTCTAGCTTTAACTTCTCTCTCGTTGGTGGTCTAATGATTATACTGCTTCAACAACTAAGGTCTTCAAGTGCATAACAAAGTCAGTAACTAAACAAGTCCATCAACAATAGAAGATCATAAGAGACAAACTTTCACACTGCCAATCATTACACCCCAAATAGTTGAAGGAGTGATTCATTAACTGGCTCTTCCTTCTAATATTAAAACAACTCTTAGCTGCATTCACTTTCAATATTTTGTTTCTACATAAAGATAGTTGACCATTCTACTATCTACTGTCATTCTAAACTAATAAATATTCACTTTTATTTTCTCTGGCTGACGAATTATTGCAGCACTGCGCTAATGACGATGGTCATAACAGTACGGTACGTCCAACGCTCTAATAAAAACAAATGCTAGATGTAATAAAACTGTGAGTGCTAAGTATACACCTTATAATGCATCTTATCTTTAACAATACAATATCTGATAACACTAAGTGCAAACAACAGAAGCCTTGTGAGGTTTCTGAACAATACACTAGTCTGGCAAGTGGCAACTGCGGTCGTAGAGGAAGATCCTTAAGTGCACTGACCCGAGTGATGAAACAGTTAGTAGAGTAGTGAGGGTGGACGGAGGAGGAACACTAAGAGATACACTAAACTATATAATCAAGGGATCAAAAACCATAAAAAACTCAAGCTCAAAACTATGGTGCAGGTTTCATCATTAGCTGGTAACTCACTGGTCAACCGGCAACACTGGATCACCGAGGACCCATTCTAGAACAGCTATTTTATGAGATTATTTACCTGTTACTGTCCATTCCTCTGAAACGTTTAAAAAAAGAAGCCGTGTGAGCTTGAGAATATTTACAAAATACAGCTAAAGAAAATTGTTACTACAAAGTGTTGACAAGAAGCAGTGATGAACCTCCCAGCAACAAATGGAAGTCAATAATGATCCAGTTTATGGCAGACATGCAGGAGATAGTTAGCTGGACCTCACCAGTTGTGTGTCACTACAAGGGACACACCTGGACCTACTTTGTTTACTGAATATAATAGTTTCTTTATTATAAAAAAGATATATAACTGAAGAACTAAAATAACCAACAATTCAAAATAACAATAGACAATACAGTCCAGTACAGTATAATCAAATAGAGTAATTAGATAAAAGTAATGAGAGCTAGACAGGGCAATATCCTGACATATTAAGACACTTTATAACTAACTATAACTTCCAGATAGCTAGAGCTTGACAGTCACAACAAGTACTACATCATTTTCCTCACTCACTTTTGTTCTAAATAATCAAAATCGTGTAGGTAGAGCTCTCGAGTGTCGTGTGAAAGGTAGATGGTGTCGACGTCCCACGCCACCTCTTCTCTGTACGGCAGCGCGTGGTAGTCGCACATACACATGTACTGAGTAGAGAAGCCGCCACAGGGACCCATGTCTCTAGTGCCTCCCAAAGTTGCTCGCTCCAGCTCTTCCAACTGTTGCATCCGCTTGAGGGGCTGGATGTCCACTTTACGGATGATGTGTCTGTAAAAGTTTCACGAGATCAAGAGGTGTTCCTATGTTTTTCCTTCCTTTCATAGTATAAAAAATATTACCTGAATGCATTAAACAATCTAGTCCTTTACTAACTCACCCATCACTCCCCTACTCCCTATCATTTCAACCCCTTCACTATGGGGATGCCACTTTTAATATTTACTTTAGCTAATGCCAGGCAATTTTACTCAGCTCAGAGGGGAACCCATACACAGGGGATTAAATGCTGCAAATCAACTCAAGTGTAGTATATAAAATGTCTGGAAACAAACTCATTAACAACTGGTTTGAAATTTACCCAATGTTAAAATTCTATAAACTGTTGGGTATGACGGAATAAACTGTTGAGTATGACGGAATAAACTGTTGAGTATGACGGAATAAACTGTTGAGTATGACGGAATAAACTGTTGAGTATGACGGAATAAACTCAAGGGAACAAGTTGGTGGATTCCTCTGGGGGTTAAGAAACTGAATGAAGAGGATTAAGTCATCATACTAAAGGGGGTCAAGTCATCATACTCAAGGAGGTTAAGTCATCATACTCAAGGGGTTAAGTCATCATATTCAAGGAGGTTAAGTCATCATATTCAAGGAGGTTAAGTCATCATACTCAAGGGGTTAAGTCATCATACTCAAGGGGTTAAGTCATCATATTCAAGGAAGTTAAGTCATCATATTCAAGGAGGTTAAGTCATCATATTCAAGGAGGTTAAGTCATCATACTCAAGGGGTTAAGTCATCATATTCAAGGGGTTAAGTCATCATACTTGTCAAGGGGTTAAGTCATCATACTCAAGGGGTTAAGTCATCATACATCATAGGGACTAAGAACATAAGACGCAGCAGAGAGAGAGAGAGACTGGTTGAGCGCGCTTACGTGAGAGGAACCGCTGGGAAGATATTTTTGAGCGCGGTCCCCAAACTTAGCACCATCGTGTCCACCTCATGACTGCTGTTCTCCTCGTGTGTGGTGTAGTAAGTATACACCCGGTCACAAACTGTCAGACATAACTGTAAAGGATAAAGACGAACAAAAGGAGGGAGAGATTAGTGACTGTATGCCCGGTCACAAACTGTCCAAAGCATAACTGGAATACAATAACAGTTAAGAGTAAGTGTATCCCTGTTCAAACTCGACATCCAGTCACACACAAATCAACACAAGATAATATTTATTCATTCATATACCAAATCATCCATCAGGTTAACATCCAACATACCATTGCACATCTAGTCATCCATCTATCATCCAATCCTTCACTCATCCACATATAATTCACCACTGTACATTCATTAAAACATTTTGACATTTCCTATTCATTTTTTTCGTGCGTCTCGAGTAATGTTTAAAACAGTCACCCCGGAGGTACAGATAAAACAAAGAAAACGAGAATTACTGTTTCTCCTAAATATTTAATTAAAATTTTTCATTAGAAATAAACAATGACTAAACTATCTTAAATAACAAAATACAATATAGATATGACCTGAAATGTAAAGAAAGGTTATTATCACCAACTTTCCTGACGTCATTCATCACGTCAGCCAATGAGAGCTCAGGTGACGGTACGGTACTTACCCCCATGGTTAGTGAGAGGATGTTAGGGACTAAGAGGCTGGGTTGGATGAGAGGGGAGGAGTGTGAGAGGTGGTGGCACTCTCTTACACTCTAGGTGGCACTGTAGAGGCACCCGTAAGTGAAGGAGGAGCAGGAGGAGAAGGCGGAGGCATTGTGTTCACCAGGACGGACAGACGGTGGTGGGTTATAGCAATGATCAATCACCAACACCCTTCTGATGGTAGTCACAGTATCTTCACCACACACAATAAAACACTCGTCCTCACTTGTCACCAACGTTCTCATCACTCCTTATACCTTCACTCTTCATCATCACCACGCCTTCACCAGGCGTCGTCACTCCAACAAATTCACCAATGATTGTCTGTCACTCGCATGTGTCGTAGATCACTGCTGTATTAATATGTATAAACACTGTTACAACATATGACTGAAACTGACAGGTTTAGACAGTTCACAGTCAAGTAAGTTGATCCACACACACACACACACACACACACACACACACACACACACACCAAACCTAATTCACACATCAATAACGACTATGAAAAAATAAAACGTCGATGACTCTCCACCCAGCTTATTTTACCTCAAGATTAGATTGTGGGTTGGGTTGCTGTTGTGTTGTTGGGTTGGGTTGTTGTGTTGGGTTGCTGGGTTGTTGCGGTTAAGGTTGTTGGGTTGGGTTGGGTTGGGTTGGGTTGGGTTGGGTTGGGTTGGAGATTCTTCTGGTGAACCAAAAACTAGTTATAAAATCACACAGAAAATATTGATAACCAGATATTTATAATAACACCACGTGGATTATTTTGTTCAATGGTGAGAATACATTTAAAAATGGCGCCAATAATATAATGTAAAAATGGGTAATATTATGACCTATTTTACGTTATATTTCTTGTTATCCTCGCAGAAATAATCAATTAACTAAAATAAACAGTAATTTCGCCCTCCCAATCATCACACAAGACACAGTACTGTACAATATATCGCGTTGTTTACATGCGTGACGTCACTGTGGAGGAGGGGAAAAAGAGCGGGAAGCACGATGACGTCACGGTATCAAGTCACTGCCGCGTCTGCCCACAACTATCAGTGACACCCAGCACGAGGAGACTCATGGTGTGTGTGTGTGTGTGTGTGTGTGTGTGTGTGTGTGTGTGTGTGTGTGTGTGTGTGTGTGTGTGTGTGTGTGTGTGTGTGTGTGTGTGTGTGTGTGTGTGTGTGTGTGTGTGTGTATGTGTGTGTGTGTGTGTGTGTGTGTGTGTAAAAGAGAAGAGCTACAACAGCAAATTGAGAAGAAGTAAAATAAAAAGAAGAAGAAGAAGAAGAAGAGCGTCAGTAACTTAACTCTTAATGACCACACCTGGGATGATGGACGGACACTCTACCTGGTGTGTGTGTGGTGAGGAGGAAGACGTGTGAGGGCTGTGATGGTGAGGGGGAAGACGTGAGGGGCTGTGATGGTGAGGGAAGACGTGTGAGGGCTGTGATGGTGAGGGGAAGACGTGTGAGGGGCTGTGATGGTGAGGGGGAAGACGTGTGAGGGCTGTGATGGTGAGGGGGAAGACGTGTGAGGGGCTGTGATGGGGGGGGAGACGTGAGGGGGCTGTGAGGTGGGGGGTGGGAGAGGAATGTGAGGCTGTGTGGTGAGGCTGTGTGCCACATACAGGCGTGTGGTGCTGGACCAACACAAACAGACCACTCAGGTAGGTTCACCACTGCATTTCACCATCCCCGGGACACACACACACACACACACACACACACACACACACACACACACACACACACACACACACACACACACACATATATATATATCTAGGCTAACTGTACACGTATGCCAACACTATGTGTGTGTGTGTGAAATAATAATAATAATAATAAAGGTTTATTGAAAAGTTCTGCACCCAAAGGCTGAAAATATACATTGGACATAAATGACTTATTACATACATTGGTGGTTTAACAAAAGCCTTCATTAGAGAAAGGTGAAGGAACATACAGTGAACATACAGATTAATGTAGGTGTTGAACAGCAAACTTCGTAGTAGTAACTCCCCAGATGGTGTTAGAGGAACTCACGGTGTAGTAGTTCTCACAGATGGTGTTATGAGGACCTGACGTGGTGTAATAGTTCCTCACAGATGGTGTTATGAGACCTGACGTGGTGTAATAGTTCTCACAGATGGTGTTATGAGGACCCTGACGTGGTGTTAGTTCCCTCACAGAGAGGCCTGACGGTGTAATAGTTCCTCACAGATTTATGAGGGACCTGACGTGGTGTAATAGTTCCACAGATGGTGTTATGAGGGACCTGACGTGGTGTAATATTCCCTCACAGATGTAAGAGGGCCTGACGTGTGAATACCTCACAGATGGTGTTATGAGGGACGTGTATAATAGTCTCACAGATGGTGTTATGAGGGACTTGACGTGGTGTAATAGTTCCCTCACAGATGGTGTTATGAGGACCCGAGTAATAGTTCCCCACAGATGGTGTTATGAGGGCCTCACGTGGTGTAGTAATTCCCCACAGATGGTGTTAAGAGGTCAGTGTAGTAATTTCACAGATGGTGTTATGAGGCCTGACGGTGGCACCTCACAGACATGAGGCTCACGGTAGTACCTCACAGATGGTGTGAGGGGCCTCACGTGGTGTAGTATTCTCACAGATGGTGTAGGAGGCCTCACGTGGTGTAGCCTCACAGATGATAGTATGAGGGGCCTCACGTGGTGTAATTCCCCACAGATGGTGTTAAAGAGGCCTCACGTGGTGTAGTACCCTCACAAATGACATTCATCCATGCACAGATAGCCAAACCTCACACCCACTAACGTAACCTAACCCAACCAAGCTTTCACATGTCTTGCATCATAATAAACCACCTGACTGACAGACAGACACAGACAGACAGACAGACAGACATACCTCCCAGGTCTGAGTGTCCAAGCGCATGCCCCACCTCCCCGGCCCCTGACACGCCCCTGGTAGTGATAACGACGCACTGGAGGTCACGGTCATCTGGCCTCACTGACACACGCCCTGGTAGTGATAACGTGACGCACTGCTTGGAGGTCACGGTCATCTGGCCTCACTGACACACGCCCTGGTGATAACGTGACGCACTGCTTGGAGGTCACGGTCATCTGGCCTCACTGACACACGCCCTGGTAGTGATAACGTGACGCACTGCTTGGAGGTCACGGTCATCTGGCCTCACTGACACACGCCCTGGTAGTGATAACGTGACGCACTGCAGGTCACGGTCATCTGGCCTCACCGACACACGCCCTGGTAGTGATAACGTGACGCACTTTGAGGTCACGGTCATCTGGCCTCACTGACACGCCCTGGTAGTGATAACGGACGCACTGTTTGGAGGTCACGGTCATCTGGCCTCACTGACACACGCCCTGGTAGTGACGCACATCTTGGAGGTCACGGTCATCTGGCCCTGACACACGCCCGGTAGTGATAACGTGACGCACCGCTTGGAGGTCACGGTCATCTGGCCTCACGACACACGCCCTGGTAGTGATCGCGTGACACACTCCTTGAGGTCACGGTCATCTGGCCTCACTCGACACGCCCCAGGTGATAACGTGACGCACCGCTTGAGGTCACGGTCATCTGGCCTCACTGACACACGCCCCGGTAGTGATAACGTGACGCACTGTTTGAGTCACGGTCATCTGGCCTCACTGACACACGCCCTGGTAGTGATAACGTGACGCACTGCTTGAGGTCACGGTCATTGGCCTCACTCGACACCCTGGTAGTGATAACGTGACGCACTGCTTGGAGGTCACGGTCATCTGGCTTCACTGACACACACCTGGTGATCACGTGACACTTGAGGTCACGGTCATCTGGCTCACTGACACACGCCCTGGTAGTGATAACGTGACGCACTCGCTTGGAGGTCACGGTCATCTGGCCTCACTGACACGCCCTGGTAGTGATAACGTGACGCACTGCTTGGAGGTCACGGTCATCTGGCCTCACTGACACACACCCTGGTAGTGATCGCGACACTTGAGGTCACGGTCATCTGGCCTCACTGACACACGCCCCTAGTGATAACGTGACGCACTGCTTGAGGTCACGGTCATCTGGCTCACTACACACACCCTGGTAGTGATAACGTGACGCACTGCTTGGAGGTCACGGTCATCTGGCTCACTGACACACACCCTGGTAGTGATAACGTGACGCACTGCTTGGAGGTCACGGTCATCTGGCCTCACCACACGCCCTAGTGATAACGTGACGCACTGCTTGGAGGTCACGGTCATCTGGCCTCACTGCCACACACACCCTGGTAGTGATCACGTGACACGGAGGTCACGGTCATCTGGCCTCACTGACACACGCCCTGGTAGTGATCACGTGACACTCTTGGAGGTCACGGTCATCTGGCCT